GCGAGTCATGGCATTGCGTTCTGTCCGCGCACACGGGCTCGTCCTGGGGGCGTGCGTTGGCGAGTGTATGTGTGTGGCACGCGTCGACGCTCCGATTCTCAGCATCAGATTCGCGGCCTGCGTGCGTATGCATCCGGTTTGCAGATGGAAGGGGGACGCGGGTTTTGAACCGTGATTGTGGCCGAGACATTCGAGACAAAACCCATGGCCACGGCGATGATGAGTGCGACTCCGATTGGTACGATGCGGGAAGGGGGGAAGTGGACGAGGACGAGGGGAGAGTCAGTGCGTGGAGCAAGGTAACCACGACTTGAAGAAGTAGTGGACGAGGATGAGGATGATGATGATGATGATGATGATGATGATGATGATGATGATGATGGTAACGATGACGATGACGATGGCGATGATGATAATGATGAGTGTGATGATGATAATGATTATGATGACGATGATGATGATGATGATGATGATGATGGCGATAACGATGAAAATGATGATGATGATGATGATGATGATGATGATGATGATGATGCTGATGATAGTGCTGATGATGCTGATGTTGATGATGATGCTGATGCTGATGATGCTGATGACGATGACGATGATGCTGATGCTGATGCTGATGATGATGATGATGCTGATGCTGATGATGATGATGCTGATGACGATGACGATGACGCTGATGCTGATGCTGATGCTGATGATGATGGTGGTGATGATGATGATGATGATGTTGATGATGATGATGATGATGATCATGATCATGGTATGATGATGCCGCTGGGGATGAGGAGGAATGGGGCTGGATCTCAGGGCCCAGGAGCTGGGGCTTGGAGCCGAGGGGGGGGGGGAACGGATGGGCGACCCCGAACCGTCCCGCGAGGGCCTCGGCCAGATGCTGCGCCTCTTCGCCGGGTGTCCCGAGGAGGGATGGGGGAGCCGTCCTCTCTCGGACGGCTCTTTCCTCAGTTCTTCTTCTCGCCTTCCTTCGGTCTCATTCCTCTAATCTTCATCCCCTCGTCATCTTTCTCATTCTCTCTCTCATCTCTCTTTGTGCATCTCTCTCTCTCTCTCTCTGTACATCCATCCTCCCTCCCTCCCTCACTCCAACCATCCTTTCCTCTCTCTCTCTCTCACGCTCTCTCTCCCTGTCCCTCCCTCGCTCTCTCTCTCTCTGTCTCTTTCTCTCTCTCCTCTCTCTCTGTCTCTTTCTCCTGTCCCTCTCTCCCCTCTCATCCCCTGCGCACTCCTTGTCGTCCGCCCTCTTGGCCCTACCCTGGCCTCGCATCGGCACCAGAGCCTTCCGCCCGCCTGCCCGGGCTCCTAGCCTTACGTCGGGCCTGTCCCTCTGCAGGAGGAAATTATTCAAGAATGGTCAAAACATAGTCTGGGGACGATTTTTTATTATTTTTGGGGGGGCGGCATTTTTCGCCCTAAAGCCCTCTGTAGGGGGACAGGCCCGACCTCCTCCTAGCGGCGTCCGCCCTCCCTTGGGGAGGGGGAGGCGCCTCCCAAGAGGAGGGGGGCCGGGCCGGGCCAGGCGCGGAGGCCGAGCGAGGGGTCCGCCGAGGGAGGCCTCCCTGCCCGGCTGCTCCTCCTCCTCCTCCTCCTCCTCCCTCCTCCTCCTCCTCCTCCTCCTCCTCCTCCTCCTCCTCCTCCTCCTCCTCCTCCTCCTCCTCCTCCTCCTCCTCCTCCTCCTCCTCCTCCCCCTCCCCCTCCCCCTCCTCCTGGCCCTGGACCCCGCTCGGGCAGCGAAGAGCCACGACGGGAGGAGGCTTTTTCCTCACTTTCGGCCTCCGGGGCCCTCACCCGCAGGCGATTTCTCTCCCCCAATCCCCGACTTCCGCCAGAAAAGTTTGGTCGCTCAGAAAAGGGGAGGAATCTTGGGATACATCCCGAGGGGGCTATTCGGACGCACTGTCGAGGATGGACGCCCCCCCCTCGTATATCCCAGGGTTGGGCCCCAAATTGTTGATCCTCTCGAAAACCTCACGGAGCCTGGGATAGGGGTCGACGCATCCCCTGTTACTCACCGGGCCTCGCGGGACCGTCAGCAAGACTCGGCGACTACGATCTGGGCGCCCGAAATGGGTACCGAAAGAATGGGTATACCATGCCCGACAGCAGTGCCTGTTCACTTGGAACAGGAGTCGCTGTCCACGCCGCCGCGGCCTGTGTCCCTCCGAGACAGAAGGCCGCCTGCCCAACAGCGGCCGCTGTTGGCTTTGGACAACATTTGTTGTTGGGCATAGTGCCCATTTTTTCGGTACCCATGTCGGGCGTCCAAGTACAACCGGTGCGGTTACGCCGGGGTGCGGTTTGCGAGTCGCTTTGTGGCGGCCTTTCGGGGGCTTTTGTGAGGGACAGTGTCATGGTTGTCGTCGTTTCGGGCGACGCTGTCATCCTCGATGCTTGCTCCACTGTGCCAGAAGGAGCGACAGTGTCATGTGATTCGGTGGCATTGAGTGACAGTGTCATCCGTTTCCCGGGGTTGGGAGAGGCAGATATGACGCGAGACAAACCACACCCTTCGCAAACCGCACCCATTGTAGTCGCCGAAAGACGACCCCAGAGGAGAAACCGGTCCCGGCGAAGGGGTCGAGGCCTCTCTGGGGGTCGGCGCAAGGAGAAAAGCATGACGTTGGGGTTCTGGCGTGACGTCGGGCGTGTTCCTTTGACAGGAGGCAAGTTTTAAAGATAGTGAAAACATAGTCTCGGGACGATTTTCGTTTGTGTTTGACTATTGAGAAGTATGTTTTGAGTATTTGCATTATTGTCCTCCAAAATCCGCCTGTAGGGGGACATGCCCGACCTGACGTTCAGTCGGGCGTGTCCCTCTACAGGAGAAGCAGCCAGAAATAGTCAAAACATAGTCTCGAGACAGGGTGTGTTCAGCATGCTTTGATTATTTTTGATTTCCTCTTGGGTATGTTTCATTCTTCGCCCAAGATCCGCCTGTGGGAGGACACGCCCAGCCTGAGTCTGGGGCCGCTGTCCTCGCCGCACCGACTCGCGGCCTCCGGAGGGCGCCAGCCAGCCTGGCTCGCCCCGCGCTCCTTCTCCTCCTCGTCCTCGTCCTCGCTGGCATCCTCTTTTCCTCCTTGTCCTCGTTGGCATCCCTTCTCCCCGCTGTCCTCGTCCTTGTCCTCTTTCTCCTCCTCGTCGTCCGCGAGAGAGCAGCAGGCGTAAAAAGGCAGCGCAGCTTTGAATGTGTCAGCGCATCTGCACGTGCGGGCGTGCCGTGCGGGCGTGCTTGGGGCAGCATCTCCAGGATCGCATTGGAGCAAGGAGCTCGGGCAGAGCATCGTTAGCAAAAGGGGGAGCTGAAGCGGAGGGGAAGGCAGACGGTGTGGCCGAGGGCTTGTTTTTCTTCGGCATGGAGGCCCCTCGTGTACCTGCCTCCTTGGGGGAAGGACGCGGAGGGATCAGGAGGAGGGACAGCAGTGGGGAGGAGCAGCAGGGCAATGACAGACACGTTTGATGAGGAGAACGCCACAATATTGCAGGGCAGGGTGAAGACAGGAAGCAATCGCGGCCGGTGCAGCCTCGCACATCCGATATCTAAGGCGGCCGTTGCCAGATTGTCGTGCGAAAGCAACCATTCGGTTCTTCCCTCTTCCACCTTCAAGCCTACCCGCCCGTTCTTTCGCTGCTCCGTCGCCCTAGCGTTCCGCTCCCCACTCTCGCCTTCCTCGTTCTTCCTTGCTCTGATCTCCGTCCTTTCCTGCTCTGCGCTCTTCGCTCCGTCATCGCCCCTTCTCGCGCCCTCGTCCCCCTTTCCCGCCCGCTCCCTTCTGCTGTCCCCGTCGCATCCCTCCTGCGTGCTCCCATCTGCTTCCCTCCGCCAGGCTCCGTCCTCCTTCCCCACCCGCTCTTTCGGACCTGGACCCTTCTCCTCCGCAGCTCTCGTGATTCCTCCGCCTTCTCCGTGCTCCCTCCTCACCACGTGCCGTTCCTTCATCCTCCGCTCTCTCCTGCTCCCTCCTGCGGCCTCCCTCTCTCCTCCTCGTTGTCCCCCTTCTCCTCCTCCTCCTGCTCCTCCTCCTCCTCCTGCTCCTTCTCCTGCTCCTCCTCCCAGCCGCCCTCTTTCCTCCTCGTTGTCCTCCTCCTCCTGCTCCTCCTCCCAGCCGCCATCTCTCCCCCACAGAAGTTTGGCAGCGGCGGCGGCCCACAATCTCGTCCCCCACCCAGGCGTCGTTCCTCCAGCGTTCTTGCCATGGTCGGCTGCTGCGTATGAGGCGAGCTGTACGATGCACCGCTGATCTGATAGGTATGTGTAGTCTCATCCGAGTTGCTCTATACAACTGCTTGTATATGTGCACGGCAGGCCACGCCAGGGATATCGCCAATGCCATCGAGTGCGACATCATCCTGATACCCGGCACGTGTATCAGATAATGGGAGGGAAAGAATTATCATACCGAGGATACGGTGGGAAGTCCACCGCAATACGCAATGGATGCAAGGACGCACCTTACAGTAATAGCAGCGCCTGCATATGCATTGTTTCTGGCCGCCGATATATACCACAACATCTATGCTCCGCCGTCTCGGTCCCGTTGAGTAAATCTGGTCGATTTGGGGAGATGCGCGTAACACCTGGACTGATGTACATCACGGTCATGTGCGCGAGCCCCCGCCCATTTATTCCGACGGCAAACAGCGAAAGGCCCAGCGAATGGCCGCGACGACAGTTATGAGACATGTTCCATATCGAATCGAACAGTTGTCGTGCTAGAAGTACCCCGAATTTTTTGGCATGGACATGAAGTCTGGACCTGGGCGCTGGGAAGATGGCGCTCCGACAGACCCCGATCAGAATCACATGGGACCCTGCCGTCAAACAAAATGTGACTCTGTGGGGAGATATTTTCGAATCTGCTGATCGATCTTAACCGTATGGCCCCTGGTGCCTATTCAGCTCAATCTGGACCCACGTATCACGGAGCTCGAGGAAGGAAATTTACGTTGGACATTTTCGCCACCCCCATTTTGGT